AAAAAAAACAAATAAAAAAGAAGAAACTCTTCCAGAATAATTCTATCGAGCAAGCAGAACCCTAATATCCAAACTAGGAGGAACATTATTTTAAAAAAACCCAGAAAACTTCAGACCACTATCACTCATGAATAAAATGCAAAAATCTTTTAAAAAGGTTAACCAATATATAAAAAAATTAATCCATCATGACCAAGTGGGATTCATAATATGTATTAAGGATGGTTCAACATAAGAAAAACAATCAATTTATCACATTAATAAAGCATAGAACAAGAACCACATGATCCTTTCAATTGATGCAGAAAAGGTCTTAAATAAAATCCAACACCCTTTCCTGATTAAAACACTCAACAAAATAGGAATAGAAGTGCATTTCCTCAACACAGTAAAGAGGATATACACAAACCCAAGAGCCAACCTCATTCTCTATGGAAAAAGACTAAAGGCATTCTCCTTGTGAACAGGGACCAGACATGGATGCCCACTTTCATCACTTCTATTCAATATTGGATAGGAAGTACTTGCTAGGGAAAAAAAGACAAAGGAAGGAAATAGAGATAACTAGATAAGCTAAGAAGTGGTAAAAATGTCACTATGTGCAAATCATATGGCAATGTACACAGAACACTCCAAAGACTTAACAAAAAACCTATTACAATTAGTAGACCACTTTAGAAGCATGGCAGGATTTAAGATTAATATACAAAAATCCAAAATATACAGCATCTAGATACAAAAACAAAAAAAAACACAGGAAACGAAACAAAGAAAACGATACCATTTACAATAGCTAACCACAAATTGAGATACTTGAGAATAAACCTAACTAGAGGTACAGAAGACCTTAATGAAGAAAATACAAAACACTACTGCGAGAAATGTGCATGTTGGTAGGAGGGGTTATTCCTTGGAGAAAGACATAATACTGGGAAGGGTGGAAGGTTGGCGAAGGAGAGGAAGATACTTGACCAGGTGGATTGACATGGTGATTGCTGCAATGAGCGCTAGTGTGTTAGGAAGTGTGAAGATGGCATAGGATAGGATAGGGTTCAGATCTGTTCATAGGATTGGTATGAGTTGTACTTAACTTGATGGCAACTGTGAGAAAACAATGAGATGTAACTAAATGAATGTTCATGGTTATTATTGTTGACATGTGTTATCACATAATGTAACATAACATCATAATTAAGTTGCCTGTGATTCATAGCAACCCTATGTAAAATAGCTCTACACCCTGCCCTATCCTGAGCTTGTGTCACTCTCTCTGGCATACCTACCATCATTATCCCAGTTACATTTTCAATCCATCTCATCTAGAAATACTCAATATTTTCAAAGCGACAGAGAACTCAGTTGGTAATTTTATTTGGAAAGGAAAGAGATCCCAAATAAGAAAAACATTTCTGAAAAACAAAAATGAAGTGGGAGGCATGGCACTCCCTGATCTCAAAATCTACCACATAGATGCAGTTACCAAAACAGCATGGTACCAGTACAATGACAGACGCATAAACCAATGGAACAGAATCAAGAAGCCACAAATTAACCCATCTACTTATGGTCAACTGGTATTTAACAAGACATAAAATCTATCAAATGGAGAAACAACAATCTCTTCAACAAATAGTGCTCGCAAAACTGGACTGTTACCTGCAAAAATCTGAAGCAGGATTCACATCTTACATCATACACAAAAGTCAACTCAAGATAGACCAAAGACCTAAGAGTAAAGTGCAAAACCATAACAGTCATAAAAGACTAAATGGAATCAATCTTTAGAAGGCCTAGTTTACAGTAGAAATAGGCTTACAAAGACAGCCAGAAACACACAATCAGAGGA